TTGATTTGCATTCTCTGATGGTTAGTGACGGGGAGCGTGTTTTCACGTACCTGTTGACCACCTGAGTGTCTTCTTTGGAAAAGTGTCTACCCAGATCCACTGCCAATTTTCTAATCAGCTGTTTGTTTGCTTTGCAATTAAGTTGTCTGAGCTCTTTCTACATTTGGATATTGATACTTGATCAGATAGATGATGTGCAAATACTTTCTTCAGGCCGCTTTTTCGTTGTGTTGATTTCCTTTGCTGTGCAGAGGCCTTTTCTTCGGATATAGCCCCATTTGTTGATTTTCGCTTTGGGAGTCAGATCCAAAAACTCATTGCTAAGGCCAGTGCCAAGGAGTTTACTGCCTGTGCTTTTCCCCCAGTTTTATGGCTTCAGGTCTTACATTTAAGCCTCACTGCATTCTGAGTTGAGTTTAGTATGTGGTGTAACAGAGGGGTCCAGTTTCATTCTTTTGCATGTGGCTGTCTAGTTTCCACAACATCATTTATGGAAAAGACCGTCTTTACTCCACTGTGTAATCTTGGCTCCTTTGTCATAAATTAATTGTGCCATTGATCTATGTGTCTGTGTGCTAATACCATACTGTCATATATTTTTTACTAGAGGCCCAGTGCATGAAATTCATGCATGGGAGTGTGTGTGTGGGGGGGTGTCCCTCAGCCCAGCCTGCACCCTCTCCAAACTGGGACCCCTAAGGGGATGTACAGGACTGCTGGCTCCCAACAGCTTGCCTGTCTGCCTGATTACCCCCTAACTGTTTCTGCCTGCCAGCCTGATCACCCCCTAACCACTCCCCTGCCAGTCTGATCAATGCCTAACTGCTCCCCTGCCGGCCCAATTGCCCCCAACTGCCCTCCACTGCTGGCCATCTTATAGCAGCCATCTTGTGGCCACATGGGGGCTGTCATCTTGTGGGAGGGCATGGCAATCAATTTGCATATTACCTCTTTATTATATAGGATTACTGTAGTTTTGTAATTAGTTTGAAACCAGGGAACATGATGCCTCCAGCTTTCTTCTTCTTCTTCTTCTTTTTTTAACCTCAAGATTGCTTTGGCTATTTGGGGTCTTTTGTGGTCCATACAAATTTAATAGTTTTATTCTATTTCTGTGAAATATGCCATTGGAATTTTGATGGGGATTGCATTGAACCTGTAGATTGCTTTGGGTAGTATGGATTTTTTTTTAACAACATTAATTCTTCCAGTTATTTATTCTAACCACCTATGAACATTAAAAAAATCTTTCCATTTGTGTCATTTTCAATTTCTTTCATCAATGCCTTATAGTTTTCAGTGTACAGGTCTTTCATTTTCATCTCCGTGGTTAAATTTATTCCTAGATGTATTATTCTTTTTGATGCATTGTAAATGAAATTGTTTCCTTAATTTATCTTTCCGAGAGTTCATTATTAGTGTACAGGAAAGTAACATTTTTGAATATTGATTTTGTATCCTGCAAATTATGAATTCATTTATTCACAGGTTTGTGGGTTGTGTGTGTGTGTGTGTGTGTGTGTATTATATGTGTGTGGAGTCTTAGGGGTTTTCAATATATAATATCATGTCATCTGCAAATTGTGTTCCCAAAAATTCTAGTTTAGCACTTCTTAGTTGGGATTCAGGAATCTGTATTTTAACAACTCCAGCAGGTGATTCTCATCATGAGAGAAGTTTTGGAAACTGATCTAAAGGTTCTCATTTCAGTGACCCAGGTGTGGTCTGGCACAGGAAGTTCTAATGTGCAATCAAGGTTGCAAACCCTGTGCCCCCTCCGGAGAAGGTGTTGGGGGTGAATGTACCTCAGATGTGCCAACCTTGTCCTCCCACATCAGGAGATCCAGACCCTCAAGAAGATTCCCAAGATCCCTGTCTTCCCGAAGACCGGTGTCTGGTTGCCCTCACCTGGTCCGAGGTATGGTGAGAGGGAAGAGGGAGCCAGCAGCTGCTTTGGTGTGAAAGGATGAATGTGGAGGCCACGTAGGGGGAATGATGAGTCTAGCCAGAAAACCGCTCCCCCCACGCCCTCTCTCACCTGTGTCTGTGGCCGCCGTTCCCTCTGGCCTGCTCTGTTCCTCACTCCGAGCCCAGGCCCTCCTAGCTTTATGTTGGATCCTGTGGTTCACCCATCGTCTCTCTTCCTCTGACATCCCCGAGGTGGGGTTGAGGGAGAGAACCGGCACTCTGTGGCAGTTCCTCTTCCTGCCCCCGCCCCACCGCCACGGGGCAGGCTGGGCACCGTGGCTTCAGAGACAAGCTGGATGAGGCCCAGGGCTCACTCTCATCTCTGGGGACCAGGGAGGCTGGTCATTGGTCATCACGGCCCTGGAGTGGCCACAAGCCTCACGGCAAGTGCCACTGGGGTCCGTTCTTCTCAGCAGTTGAGTCCGGTCTCCCCACGGGCTTCAGGGAATTTATTCAGTGTTTGCTTGCGCCTGCTGCTTTTCCAGGCCACCGCTGGTGCTCAGACTGAGTACCTCTGTGGTGGGGAGGGCAGTGTAACAAGCGAGACACACACCCCTTCCTCCAGGAGCAAATACTCTGACGAGAGGACCAAATGGCTCCAGTGCCACCGAGGGAGCCACGGCTCTGATGTGTGATGGATGGAGCGGGGTGGGGTGTCCATTACTTCTAAGGGGCCAGGAAGGACATCACGGAGGAGGTGTAGGGTTTTGAAGGACAAATAGGAGTTTACCAGGCAGCGATCAGGACAATGCATTCCAGGCAGAGGGAATAGCATATGCAGAGGCAAAGAAGCACAGAGTTTAGGGAACCAGAAATGGAGCAGGGAGCTGAGTGGGAGCTGAGGCTGGCATGGGCGGTGGAGGGCAGACACCGGAGGGACTTGGACTCCATTGTGAGGGCGAGGGGTAAAGCACGGGACGTCTCGTTAGCTGGATCTTGGCGGTGTGGGAAATGGCGGACAGGGGAAGGCCCTGGAGGCGGAGGAATGGCTGTCATCCAGGTGAGGAGAGTGGAGGGCCAGACTGAAAAAGGAGCAGCAAGAAGAGCAAATAGTGGCCGAGTCTGGAAGCAAACGTAGATGGGCTGGCGGTGGGGTGACTCCGGGGAGGTGGCGGCTGTTCCGGAGGTGGAGGTGTCGGAAGGGGAGCCGTGTGGGGTTAGGAGGAAGCTGGGGCATTCAGCTGGGGATACGCCGAGGTCAGGGTGGGGCATCCAGGTGGCTGCTGGGCTGTGTGGCCGGAGCTCGGGGAGACGGGCCAGGGACGGAGCGAAGCATAAAGACACGGGCTGCCCCCGGTGCTGGGGGATGCAGGAGGGGGGAGAAAGGCAAGGGTGGGGCTCAGGGATGCCCAGTTTTAGGGATGAGCGTTTGTCTGGAAAAAATAGGCAGAGCAGGGGAGGAGGAGGAGAGAGATGGCTGGGGTGTGTACACACTGCATGAAATGAGATGGGCTAGACCAGTGGCCGGCAAACTTATTAGTCAGAGCCAAATATCAACAGTACGACGATTGAAATTTCTCGAGAGCCAAATTTTTTTTAACACTTAAACTATATAGGTAGGTACACTGTTATTAACCTGATTAGGGTACTCCTCAGCTGGCCTTTGCTAAAAACTCAGGGGCCAAAGAGCTGCATGTGGCTCGAGAGCCGCAGTTTGCTGACCACGGGGCTAGACCATCAGCTTTGTGAAGACGAATGCCGCTGCTGAATCCCAGCGCCCAGCTCAGGGCCTGCATTCGGAAGGTGCTCACACGTAACTCAGTGGCTAGATGATGGATGGAAGGACAAATGATGCGCCACCCACCTCACAGTTCCCAGCAGCCACCTGGCTGTCCTGGGAGGTGCGTTTCCGTCTTCCTGGGAAGGTCTCCCCTCCCTCTGCCCACAGTCCTGCCTCCCTCTGAGGCAGATGCCCCTAAAGTACCCAAACCTGAACTGGCTCCAGGTACTCTGTGACCCCACAGTTGCCCTCCCACCTGGGCCAGAGCTACCAGGAGTAGAAGGGGCCACCTGACCGGGCTGGCCGATCCGAGTCTGACCTGGGACTCTTGCCTCTGAGTCTTCTGAATGAGCATGTGTAAACTTGGGTGACTGTACGTACCCCCACTTGTGTGTGCCAAAAATGCTGGTGTACAGAGCACATGAGAGGGAGAGGCAGAGTGCAAGACAGGAGACGGGTGCTCCTGGCTCTGGCCTCTGAGGCTTGGCCAGGTCCTGCTTTGGGCTTGGAGTGTCCTCTGGGTCTGGCCTTGGCTGCTGTGTGTGGGTTTGTTTTTTTGTTGCTGCCGAGGCCAGTGCGAGGTGCCCCCGGGCGCTGAGCACCCTCACCCGCCTTCCCCCGAGGCCTGTGCAGACACTCTGGCCCTGGGCAGACTCGGCTTGTGCTGTGGCCGGCATCACAGGCCCTGGCCCGGAGGGTTTCCTCTCCTCCCGCTGTGGGAAGAGACTGGAGAGATGCCGAAGGCGGGCCTGGGCTGAGGCGCTGACACTTGTGGGGACCCTTGGGGTCACCCCGGTCTCCCCGAGCCCAGCAGGAGCAGGGCGGAGGCAGTGCGGGCCCAGGCGGTGCTGTCGAGCTCCAGCATGCCACGGTCGCCGGTAAAGACAGGCGCTTTGATGGTGAAACCGGACCTGCCGCTCCTCACCGGGAGCCGGCCGGGCCCTGCGGCCCCCTCGCGAGGGGAGCGGCGGGGATGGGACCGAAATCCCACAGCTGCGTGTCCCGGGCGGGCCCTCCGCAGACGGCCCGGGGCAGGCGCGATGAGGGATGCGCTCCTCCCAGTGGCCACCCGTCCCTGCTTTACGGCCGCGCCCTCCTGCTCAGAGCGTTCCCTCAGCCGGTGCCCAGTGAGCCGGCCTTTCTCGGCCCCGAGGCTCCGGCCCGGGACCAGCCCCTCTAAGCGGAACCGGGCGGCGGCCGCCGGCTCTTTCCAGAAGGCGGCAGGCCGGGGGTGGGTCTGCCCCTTACGGGTCGGGACCAGCTGCAGGCCGGGGCGCTCTATCAGGAGCTTCAGAGACAGCAGGAGCCGGGAAAAGGTTAAAACGAACATTTATTTAACAAATTACATTAAGGAGACAGACGATCACACAGTGAAACTTCCCTTTGTCAACCGGAGTCGCCTCGAATAAATACGTTCCTACGAGCGAGCACTGGCCGTGGCCACACTCGGGGGTGACAGCGCGGCGGCCGGGGCCGGGCGGGCGGCCGCAGGCGGTGGGCACCGGGCGGCCGGGGCTGGGAGCCCTCCTCCAGCCGAGGGCACGGCGGGCCGGGCAGTCAGACTGCTCAGCGCGCTGTCCGGCCGCCTGCCCTCGCTCTCGGGCCCGGGTCTCCGCAGAGCCGATTGGCATATGATGGGCGGCCGGCTGGCGCCCCCCGCTGGCCCTGCCCGAGGCATGTGCTTATGGAGGGGGGCTGGCACCGTGGCTCCGGGGCCCAGAGACTCTGCCCAAACCCTGTCTCTGCCACTCACCAGCCTGTGCCTTGGCCAGTCCCGGCCGCTCTGTCGGTCGGACTGCAAACAGCGTCCGAGTCGGGTGTGTCTGCTTCCAGGGGCGACGGGAGAAATGTGCTTGTGCCGGCCGAGGCCCGGCCAGGGGGCAGGCGTGGCGAGCGTCCGGCCCACGGGTCCTTCCCCGCCGCCCGGGGGGGCAGCCGCCCACGGAGCGGGGCCTGACCTCGTCTCCCTCACCCAGTGGAGGAGGATCGGGCTGAGGAGGATTGGGTGGGTGGGAGCCTTCTCGAAAATTCCCAGGACGACCTGCAGCAGGTGCTTCTGCTGGCCACGTCCAGGCCACGGAGAGGCCGGTGTCAGAGGGCAGAGACGGTGGGGTGCTGTGCTCGCTCAGTCTTCTCAGAGGGGGGGGGGCGGTTTGGGATGGGGGGACGCAGGGGCCAAGGGAGGGCCGCAGCCTTCCCCTTCCCGAGTACCTTCCCCCCCCGCCCCCCCGGCAGTGGGTGTGAAGAGGAGTGCCCTCCAGGAAGCCGGTCATCCTGCTTGCTCCCCTCACCCCCCTCACAGGGTCAGGAGCTGCCTGGAAGCCACCACACAACCTCCTGACGCCCGCACCGGCCCCTGGAGCTGCTGAGGCACCAGGCAGCGGCGGGGCCGGGGTGCCCCTGGGGGGCCACCTCGCAGCCGGGCCAGGGCCCACGGACCACGGGAGCGGACAGCCCCGTCGGCCATCCAGTCACCAGTCACCGGTGTGAACAGCCGCCCGCCCACAGAGCAGCAGGGGACACGCTTTCCGGGCCACGGGCTCCCTCGCTCCCCAGCAGCTCAGCCAGCTCTGCCCGCGGCGCCCGAGCCCGCCAGCTCCCCAGCCGAGCACGTCCCCCCACTGGCCGCGAGGGAGCACGGCGTCTCCCGGGTGTCCGCAGTCTGGGGCGCGAGGCGCCCGCACGTGCCCGCAGCGCGGGAGGTGTGACAGAGAAGGCCAAGGGGGGGTCCGGGGCAGGCGGGCAAGGTGCTCTCCGCCCGCCCGCGTCCTGCCTGGGGGCTGGCTCCTGTGCCCACGGGGCCCGCAGGGGGCCCTGTCCCTGGGGTGGCTCCCGTGCTGCCTGCCCGGCCCAGACGCACCCCAAACCTCTGTCCAAAGCCCAGCCTCCTGTGACCCCCCCGATGGGCAGGGCCTGGGGCGAGAGGCGGCAGCACCACTCCCAGGCAGACGGGCGTCGCGGTGAACCCACAGGGTGCCGTGCCCCCAGCGCTGGGGGCAGGAGTCAGACCAGGGTCGGACGGATGTTGATGATGGTCCTGTGAGCGGGGCCGGCAGGATGCGGAGGCCGAGGGCGGCCCCTGGGGGCCGGCACCGGCAGAGGCAGTTGGCACCGTGATGGCACGTGGGCTCCGCAGGACGAGCCCTTGGGGGGATGGGGGTGTGGGGGAGCGGGGAGCACCGGGCACACGGCCCCAACCTCAGGCGTCCCGGGGGATCCAGTGCGAGTCCCGCTCGGAGTCCGGCGGGAGCAGCGGTCCTCGGGGCCGTGGAGCCTGTGCAGAGCCGCCCGGCGGGAAGGGGTCACTGTGCCCGGCGAGGGCTCGGTGAGGACACGCCGGAGCGGCAGGCGGCACACACAGGTTAGTCAGGTCACGCTGTCCCGGGCGGGGTCACGTCGGGCCGGCTGAGGACCGGCGGAGCTCGGCTGCCCGGTCGCCCCCGGCCGGGCAGTGAGGGGGCAGGGGCGGCGAGGCGGGCACCGGCGGTGGTCCTCTCCCCGGAGGCGGCCGGGCCCCGGGCCTCAGGACGGGGGGGTCTGCTGGCAGCGCGTGGGGCTGGGCGGCAGCCGGGCGGCGGCGCTCTGCTCCGTGCGGAAGCTGTACTCGTACTGCGGAGGGCGGGCGGACGGACGGACAGACAGACAGACAGCGTCAGGAGCGGGCCTCGCCGGCCCTGTGCGCGCACACGGACCCGGGTGCGAGCGTGGGCCTGTGGGCCGCAGCGCCTGCTCGTCTCTGAGGCCTGTGCTTCCCCCTTCCCTGCCCCACACTGAGGGGGACCCCAGCACAGCAGAGCCTCAGCCATGACGCCAGCGGCAAACACGCGCCATCTGACCCCGTGCGGGCTGCTCTGCGGGGGGGGGGGGGGGGGAGGGGGAGGAAACACACACACACACACACACACACACACTCACACGAGGTGGGGAGGAAGGGGAAGGGCCTAAAGGTACAAACCTCTGGTTATAAAGCCTCGGGGATGGAGGACAGCCTGTGACTATGGCTAATACTGTTTGTGTATTTGAAAGGTGCTAAGTTCTCAACATAAGAGATTCTGTAACTATGGTGACGGATGCGAAGGAGCCTGACCATTCTGAGATACATACAAACCTCAAACCTCTGAAATGAACACACTGTCTGTCAATTACACCTCAACAAAGAGGGGAGTCACAGCCTGCGCCCCCAGGGCTGCTGTGAGGGTGGGGTGAGGTGTGCACCTCTGACCCCCCCTGGCCTCCAGGTCTGTTGGGTACCAGCTGGGTCACTCTTCTCTCTAGGGACCAGGGCTCAGGCCAGGACCTCCGGTCCAGCTCCCAGGCGGCTGGCAGACCCATGCAGAGGGAGGCAGCGGCCTCCGGGCGAAGTCCGGGACAACACCGCCACCTGGTGGCTGCTCAGGTGCATCGCAGCAGTAAGTGTTCCCTCCTGGGCGGCCTGAGCTAATCCACCGGGCGCTGGGCGCTGGGGCCACAGAGCCCAGGAGAGGGCGGAGGGCGGGCACGCCGGGCCATTGACCCAGTGAGCGCACAGGAGGGGAGGCGGGGAGAGAACAGGAGAGCTCTGCTCAGTGGCCAAGGAGCGCCAAGGGGCCCTCTGCGGGGGACGTGGCACTGGGTGAAGGGGTGGAGAGGAGGCACTGGGGTCAGGCAGCTGGAGTGACGGGCGTGGAGATGTGCAGGAAAAGCACACGGTGGGGAGAGGAGAGGCCGGGCTGGCCTTGGGGTGAGGACCCAGAGTCTGGGGGTGCAGGAGGCTGGGGCGTCCCCTCGGCTGCTTGGAGACTGGCCGGAGGACGCCTGCCTGGGCGGCAGCAGGGCGAGGCGCCTCTCAAACGAGGGAGCGGGGCCGGTCCCAGGCCCTCGGGCATCACCCCCCCTGGAGGCTCTGCGGGGCTGGGGCGGTGGGGACACGGGGCGGCCGGCGGATCTGGGGGCTGGTCAGCACAGAGCCCGTGAGGGAGGTGGAGGTGGAGGCGGAGGAGGAGCTCCGATGCCCACAGCCAGAGGCCTGAGCCCGCGGCTGCCTGGGTGTCAGCGGGGCGGCCGCAGAGAAGGCGGGGGCCCAGCGGGATCAGGACACTCCCCGCAGGGAGAAGCAGTGCCGGCCGGGGCTAGGGAGTCCTGGGCCAGTCCCTGTGGGCAGGAGTCGGGGCAGGTCCCTAGGCAGGAGGCACAGATGGGCCTTCAAGGGGATGAACTGCTAACCCCCCCCCCTCTCAGTCTGGGCAGGGGCGGGGCGGGGTGGGGAGAGCGGACAAGAGCGCACACAGCCCTCCCCTCCCGAGGGGGCCGGATCCGGGCGCAGCACAGATTGGTGACCCCCACCTCTGCCCTGGGGATTTTCCCTTTTAGGTCATATGGGACCCCCCCCTCTTGTTTTCTCTAACTCCCCAAATGAAATTTCAACATATGTCCCCGGACATAATCCCCCTTAGGCCGGGATCGCCCTTCCCACGACGCTGTCTGGGCGGGACGGGGCCCAGAGTGTTTGCCCAAGAGACTAGGCCGCCTCTGGAAGCCCCTATCCCCCGGGCAAACAGCGAGCGCCTTTGAAGGAGGATTTGGGCCCAGATCTGTTTGCTCAGGACGTTAGTCTCCCGCGGAAGGGAAACCTGCACTTGCCTACAAACAGCAAATCCTTTTTGAATTAAAAAATTTTTCAATTAAAAAGAATTTGGGTTTGCAGAGCCGGCTCAGGGGAGCGGCGCCGGGCCTTGGCGCCCTCTGGTGGGCACAGGCCGCCACCGCAGCAGCAGCAGCAGCAGCAGCACCGGCCTGGGCGGCCGCGCCCAGGGGAATGAGACATCACTGTCAGGGCCCAGCCAGGCCGGGGACCCTGCACCGGAGCCTCAGACCCTGAGCCACACGGCTCCCACCTTCCCAGCGGCACCCCGGCCGCGGGGGACGCAGGCCACGGCGTCCAGGCACCCGGAGCCCGGCTGTCCCTCCGGGCCTCCGGCCAAAGGTGGCCCCACCCCACCCCGCTCTCACTAACACAGCTCGCTCCTGTGGAGGCCGCCCTCCCCTCAGGACCAGGCTCGGCCAGCCCAGGGCCGGTGGGGCCCGGCCTGTGGGGCCGGCGTCAGCGTTGGGCTGGGAAGATTCCAGAGAAAGGCAGGTCCCTCCCCTTCACCCCCTGGTCCAGCCGCCCGAGCTCCTGCAGGAAGGGGGCGCTCTGGGGTGTCTGCAGCTCTTTTCAGAGCTGGGGGCTGCGGGGACGCCACACTGCAGGGGTCACGGCCCGGGAAGCAGGAGGCACTTCCTCAGGGGCTGCAGTGCGGACGTGGGAGAGCAGGGGGCGCCAGCACGGAGGGCGCTGCGGGGAGTGAGGGGCCGGGAAGGCCGGCGGGGGCCACGGACGGACGGAGGGTGGTGAGGTGCCAGACTCCGGCCACGGGGAGGGTCTGGTTCAGGGCTGGCCCTGGGATGGGGCACGGAGGGTCCCTGCACAGTCAGAGGGAGGGGGCGGGGCGGGGGCGGGGGCGGGCTCTGAGCAGCGGCCCTGCCTGGCACGGCCTTGGCCGCTCAGCCCAGGCCCGACCTGCTGTGCTCACCACCAGGCTCAGCCCCTCAGGGCGGTGGGCGTCCTCTCGCCCCGGGCGGGGGGGGGGGGAGGGGTGATAAAGGGGAGGAAAGGGGGGAGCCGGCTCGGCAGGCCCGGCCTCCGGTCTGTCCTGCCGCTGTGCCTGCCGCGGCCGTTCGCGCCTGGTGTGGCGCCACAGGGTCACCTCACAGCCTGGGGAGCGGACGCCCCGGGCTGCGGGAAGCCAGGCTGCCCTCCTTCCCGGGGGAGGGGGTCCCAGAACCCCGGAGCAGGGGCACGCTGGCCGCCGCCCGCGCCTGCTGAGGCCGGGCTGCCTCGGGCTCCTCCACGGGGGCGGCGGCAGGAGCTGCGGGTGCAGAGTGAGCGCTGGGACAGATCCTCACGCCCCGCGGAGCTGGTGCTGCTCTTCCCACGTGAGCACCGGGCTCAGAGCCCAGCCCAGCACCGGCCACCACGGTCCCTGCGCGGGCTCTCCCGGCCCCTCACCGCGGGCTCTCCCGGCCCCCTCACCGCGGGCTCTCCCGGCCCCTCACCGCGGGCTCTCCCGGCCCCCTCACCGCGGGCTCTCCCGGCCCCCTCACCGCGGGCTCTCCCGGCCCCTCACCGCGGGCTCTCCCGGCCCCTCACCGCGGGCTCTCCCGGCCCCTCACCGCGGGCTCTCCCGGCCCCTCACCGCTTCCCGGCCCCTCACCGCGGGCTCTCCCGGCCCCCTCACCGCTTCCCGGCCCCCTCACCGCGGGCTCTCCCGGCCCCTCACCGCGGGCTCTCCCGGCCCCTCACCGCGGGCTCTCCCGGCCCCCTCACCGCTTCCCGGCCCCTCACCGCGGGCTCTCCCGGCCCCCTCACCGCGGGCTCTCCCGGCCCCTCACCGCGGGCTCTCCCGGCCCCCTCACCGCGGGCTCTCCCGGCGCCCTCACCGCGGGCTCTCCCGGACCCCTCACCGCGGGCTCTCCCGGCCCCTCACCGCGGGCTCTCCCGGCCCCCTCACCGCGGGCTCTCCCGGCCCCTCACCGCGGGCTCTCCCGGCCCCCTCACCGCGGGCTCTCCCGGCCCCCTCACCGCTTCCCGGCCCCTTACCGCGGGCTCTCCCGGCCCCCTCACCGCGGGCTCTCCCGGCCCCTCACCGCTTCCCGGCCCCTCACCGCGGGCTCTCCCGGCCCCTCACCGCTTCCCGGCCCCTCACCGCGGGCTCTCCCGGCCCCTCACCGCTTCCCGGCCCCTCACCGCGGGCTCTCCCAGCCCCCTCACCGCTTCCCGGACCCTCACCGCTTCCCGGCCCCTCACCGCTGGTTCGCCCGGGTGAGGATGGGACAAGGCCCCGGCCCACCTCCGGGAGCAGCACCGCGTCTGGGCACAGAGCCGCCCGGGAAGGGCTTGGTGAGCCGCTGGGACAGCCGGGCCTCGGCCTGCTCCCCCTCAGCAGTCCCCCCGTCCCGCCCGAACCCGGGGCGTGCAGGGGGGTCTGTGACTCCTACGTCCCCCCCACCCCTGCTAAACAGACACCCCTCCTCCACGACCGCCAGGCTCCCCGTCAGGGCCCCAGCACTTCCGAGTTTCCCTGCGAATCGCCTAAAACTGCGCTTGCCGCCCTGTTGACTAACGAGTTTGCCGCCCATGGCCTAACACCCAGATGTCTGTCTGTCTGTCCGTCTCCTCCCCGAGCTTTTCTGCGGAAGACGCCGGAACGGTCCTGCTTTCGGCTGGTTTGGGTGGAAGAGGAGGAGGAGGAGGAGGAGAAGCTGTGGCCCCGCTGGGAAGGGGCCTCCCACCCTTCAGCTCGCCTTCCTGCTCACTTCTCCCCACACGCAGGTAACCGTCCAAAAGCTCAGTCTGGGGGCGATGGAAGATCCCCGAACATAACAGGGAACCGGGGAGCAGGCGCGAGCAGCAGGATCGCCCAGATGGGCCCGCCGGCGCCATCGCCGAGCAGCCATCTGCAGCCGGCCCGGCGCTCCTGTCTGTGGTGGGGCCGGGCCCGGGCCCGGGGGCTGCGCGGGGACCACAGGGGGCGGGGGCCGGCTTTCCGGACGAGGAGCTTATTAATATCGCCACCACGTTAATACGCTGG